TATAATTTAAATTTCAAAATCTAGATATTAAAAGAAGCAGGAAAAGATACATTATGTAGACCTACATTTACAACTTTGGAACGAATGAAGCATTTCTAGGCTTAGAACAGTTGACGGTCAGGTTAATCATAATATTATTATAGAATAATGTGGAGTCTTATTATAGAAAGGAGGAGACCAGAGTTTTTTTCCTGGGTTGGGAGAATTGTCATCGAGTATCACGATCTTTCTACTGGGATGTTATATCCCCATCAGCCCAGGTTGGCCCTGACAGGCAGGGTCGGTAGCCCGCCTCCTAAATGATCTATATTGTGTCTATGGGTGCGTAAAAACGCCTGCATTTAAAAAAATGAATACCTGCCTGTATATCTTGCTATCTTTGTGTATCTGTCTGTCTGTCTGTATGTATGTATGTCTGTCTGTCTGTCTCTTAACTTGCGTAACCACCGACCGCCCTCCATGTCTGTTTTTCTGTATATCTACTTTTGTGGGATGTTGTTTTATTTTTTAATATCAAACTAATAAATAAAATAAAAAATGTTGCCCCACTCTATTCACTTTACTTTCACTTTCACCAGGTGGGCGTGGCTACTTCCCTTTCCTTCATCGCCGGTATTATCCTGCTCGCCATGGGTCTGTTGAGGTTCGGATTCATCACCAGTTTCCTGAGCACCTCTTTCCTCGGTGGCTTCACCACGGCTGCCGCTGTGCACATCTTTTCAAGCCAGGTAAATCAGTTGAACATTGATTGTTTCGTTGTTATTCAATATGGCAGCCTTGCCCTAGCAACTGATATTCCTGTGACCGTGAAATTCAAAGGAGTAATTTTCCTTGTCAAGCGAGGGTAGAGCAAATCGAAGGTATGGATACAGAAAACTATCAACAGGGGAGTAGATTTTTCATAAAGCCAAATTTTAATAATTCCGACAGCAACTTCTACCTCATACAAACTTATCTTACAAATTTTCCACACCTTTGGAGTTGATTAGAATTTACCCATAGTGATTTATTATTGCTAGTTTATAACTTCTTTGTCTAAACTAATCTTGGTGATGGTGATGATGATGATGATGATGATGATGATGATGATGATGATGATGATGATGATGATGATGATGTAGACTACTATGAAAACGACGATAACGACGATGAGAATGAGAATGATGATGACAATGATTGTATTAACTATGCACCTACTCTCTCCAGATCCCGAAAATTATCCACATCAAAGTCCCCCCTCTGGCTGGCGTGGGGAAACTTGTGAGAACTTACATCAACATCTTCAAGAACATCGGCGACACCAACCCCGCCGACCTGATCATTGGCCTAATCAGCGTCGCCGTTCTTCTCGCCGTCATGATCTTCATCAACGAAAAGTACCAGGTATGATATTTTATCTTTTCCCAGCGTCTCTATTACCGTGGGCTGTCTGATGAAATCGCATAAGTGAATAAAGCGAAATTTTACTAGAGGAGAAAAATGGTTTTATAAGAACCGTGCGTCATTAAATAGTGTATAAGACACTTACTACGCGTCAACGTTTTAAATGAATAATCTACCCTGTATCGAAAAGCATCTAGATCTATAGGACATTAGCACATGGCACCCAGACACGGGACACTCGGGGGAAAAAAGCATATTGATTTCTCTGTCGAATTTTGTTAAAAATCCGTTTTGATTTCCAGTTGTGTGATTTGCTTACGCTCAGTCACCCAGACTGTCTGATGAAGACGCACAACAGCCAGGTGCGTAGGTGTGCAGCTCCATTGGACAGAAATCGATATATTATATTGGTTAGACTGCTTGTCATATATATGAACAAGACGTGAGTTCGATTCCTTCGCGGGGAAAAGTTTCTTTTTTTTTCTTTAACCCCCCCCC